AGATCAAAACTTTTTTCTTAACAAAATGCCCAAAACAACTTACACTTGAACAAAGACAAAAGATCATTACTTTAAAAAGAGAAGGATATTCAAGCAGAGAAATTTTTTTTTAAATTCCCAGAACTACAGTGGATTATACTGTTAGGAGACATCAGGAAATGGGACAAAACAAAACTGAAAGTATGGCTGGTAGACCAAAAGCAACAACAAGAGCAGAGAACAATTTCATCAGAGTCACCAACTTGCGTAACAGAAGTCTGACTGCTCCAAATATCACTGTACAACTGAGCCAATGTTGTGAAAAAAATGTGTGAGGAGAAGACACTGTGAAGCTGGCCTCTATGGCAGAATTGCTGTCAAGAAACCAGGAATCAAGACAATGTCAAAAGGCTCCAGTGGGCCAAGGCACACAAAGACTGGACAATAGAGCAGTGGAATAAAGTCCTTTGGACTGATGAAACAAAGTTCAAAATCTTTGGGTCAGATAGGAGGGTCTATGTGCAGCAAAGAGTTGGTGAAAGAGCTGCAACCCCCTGTTTCATACCAACCATGGAAGAGGCTCTGTTATGGTGTGTTTTTGTATAAACCAATGGGATCAGTAGAAACAAAAGAAAAGTCAATATGCCAACACTAAGTTTAATCACAAATCAGTGGACTTAAATCCCATTGAACTAGTGTGGGATGAACTTGACCGAAAAGTTAGAGCTAAACAACACAGAAGTAATCTGGTAACTCTTGCAGGAAAGCTAGGTAGAACTATCTTCAGTCTACCTCCAGTCTTTAGAGGAAAGAATGCCGAGAATCTGTGAAGCAGTGATAGTGGCCAAATGGGGTCATTTTGATGAATCAAAAGTTTAAGATTTTTTTTTTGTGTTTTTTGGTTTAATTTGTATTTAATGTGTTGCAGGAAGGCTGGTATTTAGTATAAAAAATAAAACCATTGTGGTACTTAAGTTGTTTCATTTAAATAATACTTTTAGGATGAGAAATAAAGATTTTTGATGGTTGCCAAATACTTTTGACTGTGTGTGTGCATATATATATATATATATATGTGGTTGTATGTATGTGTATGCATATATATATTATATGTTGTATGTGTATGTGTGTATATGTATATATATTATATGTGGTTGTATGTATTCTTTGGAGGAAAGAATGCCGAGAATCTGTGAAGCAGTGATAAGCGGCCAAAGGGGGTCATTTTGATGAATCAAAAATTTAATAAGTTTTTTGTTCTTTTTTGGTTTAATTTGTATCTAATGTGTCTCAGGAAGACTTGTATTTATTATAATAAATAAAACAACTGGGGTGCTTAACTAGTTTCATTGAAAATAACACTTTTAGGATGAGAAATCAGAATATTTGAGGGTGGCCAAATAATTTTGACTGATAGTATATATATATATATATATATATATATATATATATATATATATATATATATTATATGCAAGGCTTTGCCCGCTCACTATTGCTTTGCAAAGTAAGATATTTTTGAAATCTTTGAAACAAAAATTTTAAATGAACATTTCATTCATAAATTGGCTCGTTATAATTAAGGAAAGTTTTACAAATAGATGCCAACTTGTTGAAGGCCAAGTAAAATGCAAATTTCAAATAACACTTTTCTGCACTATATAAGACAATATTCCTAAACAGAACTATTTTTGATATGAAAATCAAAACAATCCTTGAATAAAAGAATAGTAATAAAGGACAGTTAATTATTGAAATAAACGTTTTTAAAATCAATATGCAAATTAGTTAAACCTGAAGAGTAATATTTTCTAGAAGTATATAATATATAATACAGATACTGGAGCTTTTTTTTTTTTTTTTAATCTCAGAATTTGTGGAGCAATTGAGATAGTATTTTGCATTTATTCATATAGATTCTATAATTCCATAGGTTTTACTTATTTATATTTCTCTAACTCTTCAAATGTTGAATGTATAACTAATTTCTATTTTCCCATTTTTACATTATATCAATTTTATCTTGTAAATTGTCCCCTGTTCTGTCACCCATAAAATAAAAATAATTGTTTGTATGGAAAATAAGGATCTACATACATCAAATCATTAATTCAATACTGAAATGCAGCAATCAATTTTGAGTTCTTCTGTAATTTATTGATTCCTATTGCATCTGCTCCTCTCTAGATGCTGCCCAATAGGGCGGCTTTTAAGCTAGTTTAAAATTTTAAGCTTAAAATTTTATGCTAGCTGCAATTTTTGACACAAAAGGAAAATAAGAGTTACTCCCCTTCAACCATGAAAGCAACAATAATGGCAAGTATAATATATTAATATGAATCTAGCAACCCTGAATCTGTGCTCAACAAAAGTTGTTCCCCGCACCTAACTTTTCTAGGGCTTTTGAATGAGGTATGAATCATTGAAATTGGACCAGTGGGAGTGGAGGAGTTGCCTGGATACACACATGCACAAACAACACACACACACACATACGCCATACTTTATGTATAAGATATATATATATATATATATATATATATAGATATAGAGAGAGAGAGAAAGAGAGAGAGAGTGAGAGAGAAAGACAGACAAACAGAGACAGGGACAAACAAAGACAAAGAGAGTGGATGTGGGTGGGGAGAAACAATTGCTTATATGTCAGATGCTGGCCCAATAATAAAAAAAATTATCATGACAGACTGCAACTAGCTTGTAATTATAAAGTTAGTTCTTTGCATCAAGATGCATTCCACCAAAGTAAATAATCCGTTGGAGAGAAGAGAACTCAAAAACAGAGAGATCAAATTACCTATTGATCTTTCCCTATTGATTCAGCTGCAGATCAAAGTCAATCTTCTGGCAGACTTGCTGATTTGTATTCACTCTCTTCAAGGACAAAAGCCAACATATTTTCATCAGACAAAGAAAACTGGGGTATTAGATCAAACAATAGTGAACACTTTCTTAAATGAAATAATATATAATTCATTTTGAAATTCTAATTTTATGAAAGTCACTTTCTTGCATGAAGTCATAACAAGAAATTTATATCTTGACCAATTGCTTTGAATCACCCTATAGTTGATAAAGAGTTAATACTTTAATAAATTTTGTTCAACATTTTCAAATCAAAAATCGGACAGAATTTTCATTCCAATGTGATATGTCTGGGGAGATGATTTCAGTATACCCTTGAAAATACATGAAAAGCAATACCCCATGTTGTCCCAAGCCTTGAGAGTGAAATTGGTTCGACAGATATGTTCAGGAGTTCTTGATGTACAATGAAGGCAAAAGTTATTGTGACAAATGGTTTGAGTATACAGGCATTCTTCAAACTGCATTCTCTCAAGAAACAGTAACTAAAGTATGCACAGCATAGTTACAGTATAAATCACAGGTGAGTTCTGTGGGTGTTGAACAAACATAAATCTGCCTGAGCAAATGCCTATTAAAGTGATTGGTCAGCTGCACTAGATTGTAATACCATATATACAAATTCGAGTGAAGACTATAATATAATATATGCAAATTATAGTAAAGAAAGTAATACTAATATATGCAAACTTTAGTGAAGAATGTAATAAATATATGTAAATTCTAGTGAAGAATATGATACCATCATATGCAAATTCCAGTGAAAAATACAATAGCATATATCCAAAGTCTAGCATAGAATATATATGTAAATTCTAGTGAAGAATCTAATAGTATATGTGCAAAGTCTAGCAAAGAATATCTCTATCTATAAAAGGCAGGATGTGTGTGTGTGTGTGTGTGTGTGTGTGTGTGTAACAAATGCACGGCCGCAATTTTCGACAGATTTGCACCAAAATTTACATGCACAAGACCAAGACTGACTTTGCATTCCCCAACTCCCATCGATAGTGGAGATAATTGATTTTTTCATGCTTCTACGGCAGTTTTCATTTAGTTTGTGGCCATTTTCTACTGGCCAGTGTGAGAGCCTATAGCTGGCTGCCATGAATAGGCAGGAAGATTCTATTGACCAGTGTGAGAGCCAACAGCTGACTGACACGAATGTTAACTAGCATGCTAGCATGCAAAAAAAATCGATAGCTGCATTCATCACAAGTGGAAAAATTTAAATCTGCATGGGACTTTACTCTAATTGGCTCATTTGCTTGCTTAAACTCAACGTTGATTCTGATTCTGTAGAACTGGATTGGTTGTGAAAAAGTATTTGTTGTTAACATTCTTTTTTCATTCGGTTTTATCCAGTTACGAGTGCTTTTTTAAAGCTGATCATTTTATGTTCATTTTGTTTAGTTCTTTTTTTGTAACAGATTTAATGTTTAGTATAGAGCTTAGAAAAAATTCACAGTGTGAGATAGGCAAGAAGTAAGGCATGTAGCAACATCAGCACGACAAAGGGCACTCCTTTAAAGGCAAGGAAGGGCAAAAATATTTTAAGTCAAGTGATAGTGATTGCTGTATGAGTTGTACGATTTTTGAATCAAGCACGGGCAACGCCGGGTCATGCTGCTAGTATCATATATGTAAATTCTAGTGAAGAATCTAATAGCATATATGCAAAGTGTAGCAAAGAATATATCATATATGTAAATTCTATTGAAGAATATGATACCATATATGCAAATTCCAATGAGAACTATAGTACCATGTATGCTAATACTAGATAAGGATGTAGTGAAAATATAAGCAAACTAGCAGTATAACCCATCTTTCCCCGGGTATTTCATTACTGGGAATTTTTGCCGTTCATTTGAACCAGTTTAAGTTTAAAGTCAGGCCACCCAAAAATCATTATTAGTAACAACATTTAAGTGCAAATGAGGCACATTCTCAAATGGGGGGTTAACAATTTGAATGGGGCATGTCCCTGAAAAGGGCCGTTTTTGCATTCTCAATCTTTCAAGGAAGGAACCTCTTCCATGGACTGTTACAGTGGAAAGATAGAATTGGGATGGAGAATTTGTCTTTGGGTTGTAGATACATTTTCTATTGTTATTCAATGTGCTGGAAATGATGTCATTTCAAGGGGGAAGTGATGTGGTTGAAGGTGGACTGTGGAAGAAGAGATAGAGGCATTGATTAGCCTAAAGAAGATTGTCGGGATTGTAATGGAAGGCCTGGTTTAACTAACGCCCACTGCTGATCATTGGCATCCCCCACTGAGCATCCCTCTGTGCACTATTGGCATTCAGTCTATTTTGACAGGTAGCAGACGACTTCGTTGACCACGTGGTAGAAGCATTTAGCATTTGAAGTAGCACAGCTCTTTGGTTTCAGTAGCACATGCAGCAGCAGTTGAAGAGGCATTTCTTCTCAGCCATTGAATCCTGGGATTAGAATTCTCAGCATCATGCATAGCAGCATTTGCAGAGGCCATTCTCCTCAGCTTTTGAGTCTTTTGATCAGCAGTTTCAGCCTCACATGCAGCAGGAGTTGAAGAGGCATTTCTTCTCAGCCATTGAATCCTGGGATTAGAATTCTCAGCATCATGCATAGCAGCATTTGCAGAGGCCATTCTCCTCAGCTGTTGAGTCTTTTGATCAGCAGTTTCAGCCTCACATGCAGCAGCAGTTGAAGAGGCATTTCTTCTCATCCATTGAATCCTGGGATTAGAATTCTCAGCATCATGCATAGCAGCATTTGCAGAGGCCATTCTCCTCAGCTGTTGAGTCTTTGAAGAGGCATTTCATCCATTGAATCCTGGGATTAGTTTCAGCATCATGCCTTTGCAGAGGCCATTCTCCTCAGCTGTTGAGTCTTTTGATCAGCAGTTTCAGCCTCATATGCAAGCAGTTGAAGAGGCATTCTTCTCATCCATTGAATCCTGGGATTAGAATTCTCAGCATCATGCATAGCAGCATTTGCAGAGGCCATTCTCCTCAGCTTTTGAGTCTTTTGATCAGCAGTTTCAGCCTCACATGCAGCAGCAGTTGAAGAGGCATTTCTTCTCATCCATTGAATCCTGGGATTAGAATTCTCAGCATCATGCATAGCAGCATTTGCAGAGGCCATTCTCCTCAGCTTTTTGAGTCTTTTTGATCAGCAGTTTCAGCCTCACATGCAGCAGCAGTTGAAGAGGCATTTCTTCTCATCCATGAATCCTGGGATTAGAATTCTCAGCATCATGCATAGCAGCATTTGCAGAGGCCATTCTCCTCAGCTGTTGAGTCTTTTGATCAGCAGTTTCAGCCTCATATGCAGCAGCAGTTGAAGAGGCATTTCTTCTCATCCATTGAATCCTGGGATTAGAATTCTCAGCATCATGCATAGCAGCATTTGCAGAGGCCATTCTCCTCAGCTTTTTGAGTCTTTTGATCAGCAGTTTCAGCCTCACATGCAGCAGCAGTTGAAGAGGCATTTCTTCTCATCCATTGAATCCTGGGATTAGAATTCTCAGCATCATGCATAGCATTTGCAGAGGCCATTCTCCTCAGCTTTTTGAGTCTTTTGATCAGCAGTTTCAGCCTCACATGCAGCAGCAGTTGAAGAGCATTTCTTCTCATCCATTGAATCCTGGGATTAGAATTCTCAGCATCATGCATAGCAGCATTTGCAGAGGCCATTCTCCTCAGCCTCTTTTGATCAGCAGTTTCAGCCTCACATGCAGCAGCAGTTGAAGAGGCATTTCTTCTCATCCATTGAATCCTGGGATTAGAATTCTCAGCATCATGCATAGCAGCATTTGCAGAGGCCATTCTCCTCAGCTTTTGAGTCTTTTGATCAGCAGTTTCAGCCTCATATGCAGCAGCAGTTGAAGAGGCATTTCTTCTCATCCATTGAATCCTGGGATTAGAATTCTCAGCATCATGCATAGCAGCATTTGCAGAGGCCATTCTCCTCAGCTGTTGAGTCTTTTGATCAGCAGTTTCAGCCTCATGCAGCAGCAGTTGAAGAAGTGTTTTTTCTCAGCCCTTGTGTCCTTTGATCATCATTTTCAGCCTCACTCACAGAAGTATTCAGGTATGCTCTTCTGGATAGTCAATGGCTACGTTGATCTTTGGACTCAGTAGCTCTGATTGAAGCATTTTGAGAGGCATTTTGAAACAGGCAAACTGAACATTCTAAAGATGATTCATTATCCCTTATTCTCATGGCAGACCTGGTGGCAGCAGTTTTGCGACCTAGACAAGTTCTTTTCTTTGGTGTCATGTCTTAGGCAAGTATGAACTGTCAAATGGAATGTGTTGGCAAATACCAGAAGAGAACGCTGTAAAGCTACAGAAATCACTAAGCTCAAATAACTTTAGGAAAGGTTGGAAAAATAAATATTGAGTAATAAAAAAGCAAGTTTACTTGTTACTACAGTGAATGCAATGCAAAAACTGGCAGGACAGTAAAAAAATTTAAATTGGGAACTGCTAGAAATGACAATAAAAGCAATGCCTTAAAACTGTAGTAGTAGGCTTTATGCAATGGAAAAGGTAACCTCACTTAAGAGAGAATGAAGCTTGGCCAAGAGAAGGGGAATGTGTAAGCAGGGCTGGACATACAGAAGTAGAAGTGGATTTATGGAATTAAGCGGTAACAATGAGCTTAGGACTGCATAGACAATCAATATGACACGGTAACATTTGACTGGATGTGTAAAGTGGCTTTGTGCTGCCAGTGAGCACCTTGAACAGGTGTCATGTTCTGCAGGTCACGTGTTGCAGGGTCGCATATACACGCATTGCTGCATGTGCTAATTATCAAGGTCAGCAGCAACCGATGGGCAATGTGTGCAGGTGTGAATCACGCCAACACATCATGAGCTAGGATTGGAAGGTTATGCGTGATAAATGTAATATTAGGAAATGTATTAGACGACTGAAACTGAGAGAACATGGGCAAGCAAAATTTGGTAAATGAACACACACAGATGCAGAATGAGTGGATTTACTCGTATGCAGGCAGAATGGTGCCTAAACGTTGAGATAGGGGGGGCACATTACTGATGTCTTGCACCTGTATTACTTATTTCAGGTTCACTACTTTTGAGCGGTTGTTTCACAGGAAAAATGAAAAAAATAGGATGTTCCTGACAAAATTTTTCTTGCTTGATGCATCATCAACACCCCTCCAAGAAATATTATTTTGCATGCCTGTTGCCTCATGCAGCTGCACATTGAACACCCCTGCAAATGTGACATGACTGTCTTTTCATTGTGCATCTTTTGCATTATATTTCAACTCTCTAAATTGATTGTACGCTGTTTTTTACAGACATTAAATTTTGCTTTTGATTTTTGCACAATGTGTAAAAAAGTCATTTTTTTCGATTTTTCACCTTCAAGGTTGTAATTTTTTCTAGTCAATTTGGACTCAAAACCAGCGCTGAAGAAATATCTATCAAACAAAAAATCAGATGAAAACTGTGGAAATGCATAAACAACATTCGATCACACACACACACACACACACACACACACAAATTTTGAGAATTATAGATATAGATATATATCCAAAAACAGATAGTAAATAGTAAAATGTTGCTGAGAGTTATAATGAACAGGAAGTAGTGGAGGACCATTGTCACCAACAATTTGAACTCAAAACTGGCAACACTCACATACTCACTACAGAACAGAAAAAAGGCTAACAGAAATAAATAAATAAACAAATAAACTACTTCTGTCAAAATAACTGCCAAAATAGACTACCCACAATGCACCACTGACCCGTATATATAAATAGCCAAGAAAAATAACATCATTCGTGGCCTGACAATTGCATCTAGCATGAAACAGACTGTCACCTCTAAGTGTTGACTTCAATGTTCACTTATATATATATATATATATATATATAGATGGATAGATAGATAGATGGATAGAGAGATAGATAGAAACAAACTGATAGATAGCTAGATAGATAGATAGATAGATAGATAGATAGATAGATAGATAGATAAAACTCAAAGTGTGGTAGATGAGAAGTAAGATAGCTGAAATATAAGCAGTGTTTTGGTTGCTGTTTGCTGTTAGAACAATAGCAGTCAGGTTTTGTTCTACATGTTCATTCTGAAGACAAAAAGTAATGGGCTCCAATTCCAAGTTCAATTAGTCAATCATTGTTCAGGCCAAAAGAGACAATCATGCCAAACTCACATAAAGAATACAAGAAAAGGATAAACATTGACAATGCTCTATTCAGAAATAGAAGAAATGGTCACTTTATCCAATGCTGTCTTTTTCACAGCTTCATTTCTAGCATAATCAACTTCTTAGAATCACTACATTTATTTGTGCACAATTTGGTATGAGAATCAAAAACTAAAATGAGTTGGGTGGGGGGGAGTCACATCTTTATTTAATTGTATCAACAAAGTCACTCCTTTCATACATCATTCTGCACAAAGAATGCTTTAAAGAAAACATTTATCTTATGTAGTAAATATTTAATTTTCAACATAAATTCTTTCTTTGTCAATGCACTTAATTCACTAACAAATATTAATCATATAGATCAGACATTGTACAGTGAAAATTTCAGAATGGAATTCAGCCAGTATCTGTATCAGACTACAAATTTATTGATTCTCTCTACTATCTGTTGTGTACTGCCTTGTTTCTTATTGGGTAAGGGAAAAGATGTCCCCTAGGGGTAAAGGGCAGATAACCCAACACGTTGGGTCACTCGAGACAAAGGGACACAACTCCACATCTTGGTTCAATATATCTAGGTAAATCAATAAATAGAAACCTAATGATATAAAATGCACTGAATTTTACAAAACAAAGGTATTGAATTGGTGGACATTAATTACATAACTCAAACATTATACAGGGAAACTACACCTCATGCTAATGATCCATTTTTGCTTAATGGGAATAATATTATTTGCACTATTTACTATTGTCTTCATCTTTCTTGATGTTATTGGTCATTGTGCCATACAGCCTTTACCAGGAGTATATAGATCTGGGTAACCTAAATGGAATTCCAAACTGAACTCTTTATTTAATCTACAGTGAAAGATGAATAACATGCCATCATTTTTTAACAAAACTATGAATTAGAACATTATTTTTTTCAAAATATTCTAACAACAATGAAGAAGAAAAAAAAATCATTTTCCCACATTAAAGAGCATTTTCTGTTTGCCATACCTAAATGGTTGTTCATTTGTTCCAAGTCTACCATTTGTTCTTGTTTTGAATTTTGCTACCACATATGATCTGATGTTTCTCCTATATATTTAGAGATTCTTTATAAACTCCAAAGAAGTGTTGATAACATCGAACGTCGTGGGTCATCATTTTGTAGTGGAAGTGTGATGTGTGTTGGGGAGGAAGAGAAGGTTTGAATGATGAGAAGGCTTAAAATTGTGTGTGTTCAATAATCTTCCATCCACAACAATTAATACAAGACAGAGAATAATTATTCAAAAACGTAACATATTGTTTCAAAATGTAACAATTGAATTTATTAAGTATTTGATATACAAGCATAAGAGCTGAAGGTGTGATAGAGTTATGTCTCTTAGATTTGGAAATATTTGTATTTGAGCTCATAAAGTGAAAGTAATTATTAAACTGTAGTTTAGAAGAATGAAGTTTCTTTAGCATGTTTGGAATTGTTTATTGTACAAGTTGGTAAAAGTTCAGAAGAGATTTCAGAGTTTGTACTTGCGTGAATGTTGGTAATGGTCTTTAATGTCTGACTGCATTAGTTAAGATGGGAGATCTTGAAGATTACATCTTGGCAGCAAGGAATGAGACACGAGAAAGAGAGAGAGTTTACATGTGTTTTGTTTTTATAATTTTGTTGTATCACGTGAGAGGCTCTGACTAAGTTGGCGCCAAAATAGATCTGTTACATGGGGGTGATTTGATTGGTCGAAACTGACCAATCAGCAAGCTAGATTGAAGGTGATTAACCAATGAATGCTTGTCTATGTACTGTGTTTATGTAATGTGATGGTGATTACCAAAGCAGAAGAGTGCATTTTCCAATGGGGTATAACTGGCAAATGTGGAAGATTCCACAGAAGAATCTGCATTGTTATTGGTCCTGACCTGACAATCTCAGCCTCAATCACTTTTCCATCACCATAATGTAGCTACCCTGTGCGTTTTCTATAAATAATTTCATGGGTATTGTTCTGATGAACCCTCCTTTATGGTACCTAGACTTTATTGATTTAAGTATTAGATTGGTGGCAAGATCTCAACATTTTACAATTGAATTGGCTAGATGTAACCATAAATTCTTTATTAGCCTTCCAGCTTCCCACATTCCAGCCAATCTTCAAAATTTTAAATGCAATATCAATCATTATCTACTGTCTTCTTGATTCCTTTTCTTTTATCATTCCTGCTCCTCAATGATCATTAACCTCCACTGCATCTTAGTGACTTTATTGCCTTGCTTGGGATGAAATATTAATGTCTTTTTATTAAATATTTTGACTGTGTGGGTGCAAATGATATTCTTCTTTCCCTACTATCGTTTTCATGAGGTTACTCTTTAATGGTAATTTCAACATCATATTCTTTGTGTCTAACAGCCAACACAGATTTATTAAATATTTCAGTACAAGATGAATAGGTTTTGCAAGTCCAATAATTGTTGAGTATTGATGGAGGTTTCCTTCTTAACCTTTATATGAAGTCGTGTTGAATGTCAACATCTTGATTACATGTTGGTTGGTTGATTTTGTTTGTTGGCATATTAATCTCTATACAGTGTAACCCGGATATAAGAGAGTTGTCAGGACCGGAGAAAAAGTCTCTTATATCCGGGTTTCTCTTATATCCGGGTTTGGTCTATTTTATATACATTAACACAGGCTCTAATTTGGGACCAGAGAAAATCTCTCTTATATCCGGGTTACACTGTAGTTTATTTAGTGCCGAAATTTAATTTTTTTGCACATAATTTTATGTTTTCAACTACAGATATTTGGGAGACGTAATTTTATGCTTTCAGAGTAAAAGATATGTATTTTAAATATATATTTTGTAGATCATAAAATATATTTTGGGTAATTTTACCATAAAAATGTATTTTTATATTTTTTTAGTGTTGCATTGATTGTCATTTTGCCATAAAAATGTTAGCCATTTTATTATAAAAATGTACTGTTATTTTTTGTTTGGGTGATCACTATTTGCCCATAGCTGGGACCCTAACAGGTACTAGCACCCCAGTAATTGCTCCTCCAATCCCTCAATCAGATGTCTTGCTGCCAGATGTAGTTTATAATCATACCTTGGATGATCAAGTAAACATGTGATATCCATTTTAATTGTTGTTGCTCTTGGTAGTCCTCAAGGAATATGTTTTCTGTTCTTTGTTTGCAATTCTGTAGCACTAGTCTCACAATATTCAAAGAAAAATTATCGTTTCCAAGACAAGTAGGTTTCATTTGCTCAAAGCCATTTTTAACCACTGATCTTTGAAAGCAGCTGTATACAGCTGACAGTTTAAATATTTCTTGACAGATTTGGTAAAGCATTTTAAATGATATAAAATATATATAAGAAATAAAAATTAGAAAGAAAATACAATTATTAAAATAGAATATAATAAAAAAAATATACAGAAATACAGGGAGGCAGCAATTGCAATTTATGACTAAAAGGGAAACTGAAAAATATAAAATTTAAGAACGTGAATGATTTAATAAACCAAATTATTTAAAATAATTCAATACAAATAAAAACAAAAGGAAAACTTATCTTATCTGATGTGTTTCACCCTCTGGATTTCACATCAGCTAAGATAAATTTTCTTTTGGTTTTTATTCATTTTACAGATATATTTTTAGTTATATCTGAATTTTTACACCCAAAAATTTATATATTGTTTTTCCGTATATATAAACATAAAATAGCACACAGTCAGTGCTGGTGGTGATAAAACAATGCTCAATGTAAAATAAAAGAGCTAAAATATATACCAATAATAAATACATATTTGTTCCTCACTATTTGGTGAAACTGAGTTACATGCACGTGGCAGTCATGAGGCTTGTACTTAAAACTCAGCACCAAATATATATTTATTATTAGCTGATAGCTCAGGGGAAAAATCTCCAACTGATTTGGCATCAGTTGGGTTTCAATCCTGGCTTGAGGCAACTTGATCTAGCCACACTGACGAGCTGCGATACAGCAAAACAGTCTGTCTGTGGATGACACATATATACACCCCTACCCCCCAAAAAATGAAATACGGTCAAGCACTTTAGAGGGAAAAGCATGAATTTTTAAACAGTGACTGCTACTGCTGATGCAAAAGCTCTTCTATGAATTGAGCACTGTGAATCAGTAGTGCATTTATTCTAAAAATAAATACATAAAAATTTACCTTTCTCTCTGCCAGGAGCTGATAGCTCAGGGAAAAATCTCTGACTGATGCTAAATTGGTTGGGTTTCAATCCCAGCTTAAGGCAATCAGATGTCTAGCCACACTGATGAGCTGTGATACAGCAAAACAGCCTGTGGATGACACACATGCATATATATATATATATATATATATATATATATATATATATATATATATATATATATATATATATATATATTAAATATTACCAACTTGTGACTGGTAGGAATAATTTCAAGGAGCATATTAATCCAGAGAGAGCTCAATGTAGACTACAGAGCATAATAATAATAATAATCAAGAAGAAAAACTTAAATATTTATTACAGTTTTAATTTATTTTGTGAATATCTATTAATGTAAACTCCAAGCACCTAAATTCAAGAATAAAACAAATCACTCACACTGTAAACATCAATAAATTATTGTCCAACAAAAAAATATTTAATGAGAACAAAATAACTTATGACGAAGCCCTCAGCAAGAGTAATTTCAAAAATTTGCTTACCAGGAATCTTTGGAGAATAATAAAACAAGTAGAACAACAAACAGAAAAGGAGAGATAATATGGTTCAAACA